CGAGGCAGAGTTGCTCTGCCCCGGGCTTCCTGGAATCAGCCGCTGATCAGTTTCAGCAGCGGCTGACTTGGGGACGCCTGGGTTTCTTAAGTTGAATCTATATGTAAGTCAGAACTGGCATCCAGATTCAGCCGCAGTTGAAACTGATCAGTTTCAGCAGCGGCTAACGCCAGTTCCGACTTACATACAGATTCAACTTAAGAACAAACCTACAGTCCCTATCTTGTACGTAACCCGGGGACTGCCTGTAGCCTGTTCACCACAGGAGTATCCTTTTCCTTTAAAATAAGGGCAAAAATATTAGTATGTGGTTAGCCACTTTCACATAGCACATATGATCACAACTGTTTTGACAGACTAACTACTGAAGTATAAAACCAAGTGGGATAGGCAATGCATTGCACACATTCCTCTCAGCCAGACTTGAACTTGCATTCTGTTTGTGTAAGTGTATTACCTGCCAAGTTACTACTCACTACTGCAGCTTCTAACTTTGACCCGAGCTCAGTAGGAGCATTTTTAATGTGCTTGTCTGTCCGCAATGCAGGCAAATCCTATTTAACACAGATGACTTCAGAGATCAGAGCTTGCTGCTCACCATAGCACTACAGAATAGAGGAAAAGATTAGGCACAACCCACCTCTCTCTGACCTGAAAATGAAGTAGCTGACTGGCTCTTAAAGCACAGTACTGTAATCACAGACAGCTCTATAAAATGAATATTACTTTCGGGCAACAAACAGATTGTAACAGTGAAATCCTGACCTTTCTGAAGCTATTGGGATTTTGTCATTGATTATAAGCTAAAATGTTATTACCGTTCCTTCTCATTAGGGATATAACAGTGTAGTCAATTAACTGATTAACCAATAAGCAAAGCTTATTGGTTAATGCTAATGCACAAACACTCCCACCAGTACATTTTTTAGCAGGCCGACCAGTATCTTGGCTCAGTCCTGGATTGCGCTGGGTCTGGGACCTACCCCTACTATGGTTCTGCATTTAAAGTGTAATAGGAGCTGGGCGGGCAGGCAGGCAGCCCGGCTCAGTTCCAGTTTGTGCCAGGTCCAGGATCTCAGACTCCCTCCACCGACAGAAGCTGTTGCCATACTGTCCTGCTGCCTCTGTGTCAGAAGCAGCAGCATGGGGCAACAGGCAGCTGGTCCGCGAGGGGAGCTGGTCTTTAAACTGTCTAACCTTGCGGACCAGCTCCCGTCTGGCACCTCACGCTGCTGCCTCTGGTATAGAAGCAGCAGTGCAGAGTGGCAGGGGGCTCCTTAGGAGGGGGGGCCGGAGAATCGACTATTCAATTAACCAATATTTAACATCCCTACTTCTCACTAAAATCAATGAAGTACTTTCCTTTTGTTGACAAACTTCAATCAACTTTCAGTCACAATCTGGAACCAACCAGAAATTATGAAGAAAAAAAGATTTGATTAAAAGATTCAGGATTCTATTAAAATCTTACACCATTCTGCTACCTCTTACAAACACATTATAATTAAAAAGCCATTACAGGCTATGCCAAAGTATTTACTTTTTATTTTTTAAATTCTTTTAACTTTCTGATCTGTCTCATTTACTGGAATCTATCTATTAGCATAGAAGAAATTGTACATCAATAAATCTACTTTATATCAAATGATAGACTTGTGTATCTTCATCCCGTGACTCTAATTTATCCATGCAGATGAAATCTAAGTGAAAAATGAAATCACAAAGTCTTACTCCCAATGAAGTCAACAGGCGTTTTACAGACTTCAGTGGGAAAAAGCTCAAAACCCCAGTTTCCTATGTAGGAAATGTTTGAATAGAGAATGGCTGAACACTAACAAAAGAAAGCTTTGGTACCCAGGGTCTTAGGACCACATAATACCCACACATTTATTTCTTCCTCTGCTACTGAAAAAGAAAAAAAATGTCTGTTTGTTTTTCTAATTCAGTCAGGCCTCTGAGCTCTTTGAATCTAAGAAGTGCACTGTGAAAAGAAGAGCATCTTATCAGCATGCTCCAGACCAGCAGGCTAACTCAGATCCCTGCACAAAAGTAAAAAGGCCTCACCCTCAGAGTCTTCCTCCCCATTTCCTTGTTAACACCCTGTTGCACTCCAACAAACAAATGAACACACTAGACTCTAGGGTGCCTCACTTAATTAACTACCCTTTATGGTAATAAGAAAATAGTGCCTTTTAAATTGGCTTCCCTTACAAAGTATACACAACATACAAGAGCTGCACTGTGGTTGTGTCTGTGGAATTTATTTTAAAAAAATCACCACCCAATAACCATTTTTTATTACATGCACACACTTCAAATGCAAAATGCAGTGATAATGAGACATTGTTGGGTGCCATCTTTAGAATGTTGTTGAGATACCATCATAAGTGGTTTGTATTGTAAGGATGTTTCTTTAAAATGGGGAAACAGAGCAGCAAGTTTATGAAAGCTCTCATTGAATCTCCAAGTAAAGAATGACAAACCTAATGTACACTGGTTAATTATTGTAGCCCTAAACTCTTATATGCTTACCTATCAGAAAAACACATGAGGTTTTTTTTAAACATTAATATCAAGAATTCAATGAAACTCTACAGTAAAATGACTGCATTACAGTATGTGATCAGATATTTCTGCCTTTAATACATCCCCGTTCCACACAAAATGATAATGCTCCCTGCACTGTTATTAGGATAAATTAATTTGTTTCTTCTGCTAACGGGGCAGAAACGAAAGGTGTTTGGGTCCCTCCTTCCCAGCCCTCAAGAAAATAAAGAAGTGTGCATCTAATCCATTCAACCTTTTCTATACAAATGCAGGGACCTCATTTTTTTCTAACTTGAAACAGAGCATTTTGTTAAAGGTTCGATGAAAACATGATCTGTTTTGTTATCATTAATACTGTGACAATGACAATACTAAAAAATCAGAAACAGGAAAGTTTTCCTTTTCCTATGTCTCCCACCCTACCCCCACCTCAACAGAGGATGGGCCTGTCTAACATTCCAGCTGTTTTCAAAACTTTTAAGATGTAAAATGTCAGTTTCAAGAGTCCCATAGATGTGAATGGTTGAAGCCTACCAAACCTATCTGCCTGCTCGGAACATGTCACAGGATTTCCCTTGTACTGTGGGGGAGAGGAGTTGGGAGAGACCTGAAGTTCAGCGGCAACAGCAGAGGTTTTTGCGAGGTATGGTGGGAGTGGGGGGGGAGGCGCGGGGATGAAGGGTATGTTTGCTTTGAAAGCTCGTTCGTCTTTTTTGTCATTTCATCAGAAACGAAAACATTCAGCAGCCTGAAGTTTCGATTTTCAATGGATGTTGCAACTTCAGTTTTTTTTTTTTTTAAGAGAAAACAAACTTATTGCAGAGCTCAGCAAAGCCAGGGCTCCCAGGGCTGCCCCCAGCACGCCCCTGCGCAGCTAAGGTCACTCGGCTGAAGCCGCATGACCGACACCAGCTCGCCTTTCTTGAGGGTACTCAACAAGGTCACAACACTCAGCCGCCTCCGAGGGAAGGGCGCAGCGGAGCGCTAAGAGCCTGGAAGTTACAGCCCCGGCCAGTCACACACAGAGACAGACACACACCCCTCCCTGCTCGCTTACCTGTTTCCTATAGGGAGCCCTGCTGCCGCCCGCCGGGTTACTGCTGCTGCTGCTGCTGCTGGGGAAAATCATCGCCCCGCCTAAGCCCCCAGCTCCCCTCGGGATGGGCAGCACCCTGGCAGCGCGCAGAGGCGGCGGCGGCGCGGACTGGCTCTCTCCCTCCGTCGAGCCCGAGGTCCACGCACGGCCTGTCGCTCCCCCTTCCGCCCCGGGGATCCGCCGCGGAGCCGGGCTGCTCCTACCGCCCCAGCCGGAGGGAGCTCATTGATCTGGCAGCAGCAGAGGCGA